TATTTGTTTACACAACACACAGTCCTGAAGTACCAACATATCTTTCCAGAAGATGCCAGGTGTCAGCTGTGTCTGTTCATCAAAGCCCTGCACCTCATGCTTCTTACTCTCCAGCAGCAACTCCCCAGCAGCTCAGCCCAAGGGAGGCACACATCACTACACTGTGGCAGCCATTTCTGAGCAGTGTTTGTGGCAGCAGGCGTGGTCTCCTCTTGCCAGTCACAACCAGGAGAGGTTGTGGGGACTCCAATGAGAACTTAAAGGGAAGAAGCAGGGCCCAGCTCTGCCTGGTTCCAGCACTCAGCCTCTGCCCCTCGGCCCCAGCTTTGGTGCTCTGCTTCCTAGCTCCAGAACCAGCTCTACTTCAAATGTACGGGGATTTCAATCATAGAATCGTCTGAGTTGGAAGGGACTCTTAACGGCCATCTGGTCCAAATCCTCTACACTTGATGAGGTGCTCAGAACCCCATCCAACCAGACCTTGAGTGTCTCCAGAAATGGTGCACCCACCACATGTTGGAGCTACCTGTGCCTCAGCATTCTGAGACCAGGGCAGCAGTTGTACATCACATGCTGAGGGAAACAGCCTGCTTGGGTACTGACAGTGTCTGACATCTGGGAGATAACTAGATAAGCAAATACTGTAGTAATTACTAATAATTGTTCAATACAAACACAAGAGGGGCAATGGAAAACCAAGTCTTCCCCCTCTTCTCCCCATCATTCGTTAAATTACACACCAGCTATGCCATCATGCAGGTTACAGGAGCCTCAGATTGCTGCTTGCCTGCAGCTAACACTGTGTGCACACGGGGTGCTGCTGCTCAAGTACTGCTGAGATGCTTGCACACATACAACTGAAATCACAGCTTAATTTCCTAAGAAATTCTTATCTACCATACTCATCATTTATCAGTAAAACAAAGATCTCCAATGTCTTTGCCAGCCTTTAGCAAATATCCATTTCCCTTTGCTGACAGAAGCTAACCAGTTGCTTGTTCATAAAAATCATTCAAGCAAATGTTCCATATTCTCAAAATTGTCTTTGGAAAGGCTGCCAGGAGTTAAAAACCAAAAAGGCAACATCTCACCTGTATGCAGGCAAAACAGAAACATGGCGCTGAGTGTGCAATACCAAACATTAGAGACCTTCAGGGCCTTCAGCAGGTCCGAACTTCACAAGTTTGGGTTTCTGCTGTGCATAATATCACTTCTAGTCACTTTTAAATGTCCAATTTCCCCTTGGCTCCATCTACACCTCCCTGTGGAATGCATCAGAAAGTGGACCATTAGACACATGAGAATGCTGAGCAGCACTGTGTGTGTGTTCACACCAGTGTACGGCTTGCCCCAAAAAACTTCAACAGCGTGGCCTGTGGTAAAGTCCTGAAAACAAGAAACAAAGAAAGGAAAATGAAAACAAGGACATAAACAAAAATCTAGGAAAATGAAGTAGGAATGAAGGTAACATGAAGGGTCTGGTGGGTGACCTCAGGGAACTACAGATGTGATTCACAGCTGCTCCAACTTAAGAGTACATCAGATGTTTAAGTGCACAGAGGTTGGGAGCACCCAACAGACTTTAAGTAGCAGACTATTGATATGGAGAAACAGGCATGAGGAAAATCATGGGTTTCATGGTGTGGGTCTCTGACATGAAAGGTATTATCGTCATTACTTAACGTGTAAGCCCCACCTCTTCAGAGTTGGACAGGAGCAGCCCTTTCAGAGAAGCAGGCCAGCCGGTGTTACGACAGCCAGCAGTGCTTACCTGGACTTCACAGAACAACTAGGGAGGGTATCCACAGGTGACAGCACCCATTATTTGTATTAGATTCAGATTCATTCTTGGCACCCAGCTCTGGTGATGCTCCCTCCACCACCAACCCTTGTTCCTGGCATCCAAGACCAATACACAGACACCAGCTCCTGCCTCACCTGTAGGCATTTCAGGCTACAGCCAGCAGACGACCTCCTTGCCTCGCTACTCAGCTGCTCAGGGAAGCAGACCCAGGTTAGGGTGGCTTAGCAGAAGCATGCTGTGCATGCTCACCTCAGGGCAAGGGGAAGAACACCAAGAAGCCTGCAGTGTTAGAAAGGAACATTTTATTGCAAGAGATTACAGACCTGGCGCTCTGGCCAAAACGTTTCCATTACATTGAAATTGCTACCCACGTCATCAGGGAACAGCACCTACAAAGCACGCAGATTGAAATACCTGAACTCACGATGCAGTCGACCTTTTTAATAAGTACTGTTCTAAATAGATGCCTTTTTTTTTCTTTTCTTTTTTTTTTTTTTTCTCTAAATGGAATCAGGACTACGTGAACTGATTTTTGGAATAGGAAACTAGTGGTTAAGCATCCAGGCCACTAACTACTGTGGTAAAAACTTGGAAAAGTCTGTCAACTGTAGTACTAAAGTGAGGAGGCTCCTTTCACAGACATTACAATTTATTAAAAAATAAGTACTTGTTATTTACTGTCATTTTTTTCCACATACTTGCAGCCATTTTTTTCCCTGTAGATTTTCCAGATCAGGTCAAAGATTGAATTAATGAATAGCCCCTTTAAAGTATTACTGACTTGTAGGATAATGTGGGATGAGCTCAGAGAAAGCATTTGTTTCACAACAGCTCTGTAGCAACAGCCCTGTAACGCTGGCCTTTCCAAGCCTCACGTGCATGCACACCTCTGAGCCCAATTCACAATCCATGTTCTTCCTGTGAAGCACTTACCTCACACCTTGATTTTCCTGAGCACGGCTGAAAATGTAGGACTCCAAACATAAAACGTCTGGCTCAGGACTAGAATGCCAATTGTTAAAATCCCTCTCTCTTTGGCACCTTTCATGCTCCCTCTTCCCTTCCCTGGTAGCTACTGTCTCAATACGCATTTCCTCGCATCAAGAAGAAGCCTCAGTCCAGCCCTGACACCACTGCCAGGGCAAGGTGACCCTGAGCCAGCAGAAGTTCCACCAGCACGCAGGGCTGGGCTGCCTTGGTGCATGGGTGCCAACCATCTAATAGCACAAGCCGCATGATCCATGCGAAGCAGCACGTGGCCAAAAGGAGTTAAGTGCCTAGGGATGTTTTCCACACATACAGCCTGACCACACCACCACTTGGCAGTGGTTACCACACGCACCTGAAAAGCACATTTCCAAAGTCTTGCAGAAATCTCTTTCACGGAATGCAAATAGAGCTTATTCTATTATTATTTTTAAGGATGACTTGGAAAAGCTCTGGGACTGAATACACAGGCAATCATCTTACAAAGTGTGGAGCTGGACCTCTGGTTTCCTGACTTGAGTATTCTGACACTTTTCGTAATTTTCCAGAAGCTGCTACTTACAGGAGCTTTACCAGAAGGTAGGGTAGGTGCTGGAAGAGGAGTACAACTCCTGAAGACTGCAATGAGGAACCAAAGCCAACTGACCACTACCAAGTATGACTAAACAACTGCAGTCTTTAGCCTGAAGCAATACAACCAAGGTGAGCCAAGTCACATTTGCACTTATACGTGCAATTCCAGACGTCCTGCTCTTCAGCAGACTGCCATAGAGCTTCTCTAACCTAGCAGTACACGAAAGACAGTGAGACTCCCTCACTGATGCCAAGGTCTAAGTGTGCCACACAGATCTCAAAACACGAGATCTGTACAATAAAGTGACTGATTTAATGAACTCCACCTATTCTATTAGAACCTGTGTAACTCTGGAAAGGTGAGCTTCTACCTCCCAGTCAGTACTGACAAAAGATGTTTAATTCCAAGCAACAGAAACCAAACAGCCCCATCTGAGACCTATAAGCTAAAGAAAGCTTGTGCACTTTTTGACCATTCAGTCCATCAGCTTTATATGCAATGAATCCACTAATCAGAGAACTTCCAGGTTATATTTCAAAACCATATTATAGCAAGGATCTGATGTAAGCAGGGCAGGAACATCGACAAAACCCACACAGCTAAGCACTCAGGCAGCTCCAACACACACCCAAAGCCTGCCAATGAAAGCAGCTGCTCCTAACCAGAGAACGTCATTTTGGAAACCAGCCAGGACTACAGCTTTCTCAACTTCAGACACAGCCTTATATTTTTGGTGTTCACTACTGCGGCTGAAGGAACTAAATAAATTTAATTAGATTTACTATTACAAATCTAGACAGGGTTTTTTTTTTTTTTTTCTTTTTTCTTTTTTTCTCCAAATGCTAAATTCTGCACGGTATGGCTTTCCCTTATAAAGATTCTAGATAAATATAATTTGCACTTAATTGAACTTTTCATGTTAAACAGCAACAGAATCTGGTGCTCTAAGGCACCCTTTTTGGTGACATGAGTAAACAACCACTCAATTAAAGCATTACAAACATTCAAGATGATCTGATCACTTCCCTCCACTCCAACATGTTGCTGTAAATACTTAATTTTCACATCATATAAAAAAAATCCCACAATTATATACAAATTCAGAATTTTTTAGTCAGTCTGTATACACATAATATGTCTGCAATACACTTCAACACTCTGTTTATCTTTCCTAAGATCTCTGAAGCAATTTTTATTTCTGGCCTTTAGATGGACTGATGGGTGTTTTCCAGGTTAAAAAACAAAACAAAACAGTACGAATACATTTGGACAATGAAGTTTATGTTACCAGTAGGAACGTGTACAGCAACACACCCGACAGCATTAACCAAATGATAACCCTGCCAGACAGAGGATGGCCTTGTCTCAGCACTCCATCCCCCACAACTGCTTGTTTTTGGTTCATCTGTTTTATCAGAACGTTAACAAACCCTGTGTGTTAACTGCACACGTAGAGGCAGATCAACATCATTCACATTTTCCACCAACCAAATGTAACGTGTCTGAACAAGTCATTTTATTGCAAGTAAACTTATTTTTACTTAAGATAATGAGAATATTTTAATTTCAAGCAAGACAAATCCATTTCACAAACTTAATTCACACAATGTAAATAAATGCTTCACATTATAGACATTTAGATTTTCTTTAAACCTTTTTTATTTAGAGATTTTTCTGGTAAGGAGATATACCATAGGAAAGCAATTTCACTGGCAGTGAGGTATGTATATACTCTACCAAAATACTCCTCTTGCTTTAACTGCTTTTAACTTTATTTACATATAAGGAAAATATCAATGCATATCCTTGGCTTAACTACAGTATTTGTTACCCTACATGAGTAAAATGAAATGTTATTTGCATACAAAATTGATTTGTAGAGGAATCTGACTTATGATTTAAACAAAAATCATGTTTCAAAGACAGTTTGAATGAACAAACACAATTCAGCATGACCAAGACACCTGCACCATATTTCCATCCTCACAGCACATTTATTTCAGTAATTCTGTAAGTAGGTCCTTAGCATGAGCATAGTGTTACAGTTTTCATACATATAATCACATCCAAAACAAGCTCTAAAATTTAAGTTGTAAACATTCTCTTCATATGTAGAAACATTTCAACCTGTGTTCAAATTTTCTAAAATGATCAACCTTTTAAACAGAATTATAAATGAAAAGTCTACTCTAACCGTGTAGTGAGCAATGCTTATTAGTACATTTCTACAGTGTTAAATAAAATAGTAGAGAGGCAAACTTCTGTAAGCAAGTCAGACTTTAAGTAAATCGTCATAAAGAACAAACTTGTTAACAAAAAGATGCTTTGTAATAAAGAAAGTTGGATTGAATCTACTATGATACAAAAACATAAGGGTAAATACCATCTTTGTTGACAAGTAGGAGGTAGCATGGATGCACCACTTTATTGTCAGTGAGAAATGCAACTGAAGTAAAGAATATTTCCTTACCACAAATTTCCAGTATTATGTACATATTTATCTTAGAAATTTGTTTAGACAAGTTTCCCTCCACTTTTTAGTACAAAAAGCCTCATGTGATTTAAAAAAAACACTTACACACCTAGATAGAAGAGTACTAATTGCCCTATTTGAATGAAACAGTCTCTTGAACTATGAAGTAACATGGTATTTAATGCCCTAAAGTTGAGTAAATTGTTATTAGCAGTTCTTGATATTATACAAAACACTACATACATACAAACAAAATATAATATCTTATTTTACTATGTAATTTTTTTTTTTTTTTTTTTGGAATAAACAGAGCCTTGATTTGGGTAACACTGCAGAGAATGTGGTTTCTTTGTTTTATTAAAATCTGTCTTTTAGTACCCATGTGCAACGATTTAAAAATGGCTGCCATACATGTAATGGTCTTGTATTGATAGTGAACACAGTAACTGACAAAAACATAATAAACCTTAAAAACACATCTTCCACCCTATATAAAATATAAAGACTACTTACTGTAACTGTTAAGTATTCACTTTATTTTGATGTTATTGTAATCCACTTCCTCTATTTTTGCCTTTAGGATTTATAAACATAATTTAGTGTAACAATTTATTTAAAAAAATGACAAAGTATTTCAAATTTACATCCAATTCAAATTGAAAATGTGTTCTTGTTCTATGATGCTGCTTCTGCCATCAGTAAAGAAAATGAAGTTTCAGTAATCGAAGCAGGTTTTTTAAGTAGCGATGTGACTTCAACCATGCCAGCTCCAGTCCGTGGAAGATTTGCGTTGACAATGTGTCGCTGCAAGTGTTTTATCCAGTCTTCTTGCACAGACAAAGGTCCTCGAAAGACCAGACCACAAAACCTATGCAAATATTAAAATTGTTCCATCAAGATATATCTAGCACTGCTCAAACATTATGCAAACAAAGCCCTAATTTTCTTCAAGTCTGCCTCTCTATAAATTTAGTTGAAAATGTCAGTAACTAAGTAGTAACCATAAACACAATTCTCTGCAGTTCATACGAGTTATGCTCCTATGTTTGTAATACTAGGAGTAACAATCTGATCCTCTTAGGGTTTCTTTTGAAGAAGAGTATTACTCAAAATGGCCAATGAGATTTTAGCTGGAGAAATGGGAGCTGGCAATTTAACAACTAAGTATGATTGATTCAAATTATCTTCTCCTATCTATCTAATTAATTAAAATAACCAACTGCTTTCCCCCTCGTCTTATCCAGTGTCACAAACTTTACAGAATGTAATCTTAAATATTCCTACAACTAAAGTAAGCAAGCTCGTAAGAACACAGTCTTTCAATTAAAATAACCCTATGTACCTGCATCTGAGTATGTAAACTTCATCAGCACTATGAGGTAATGGCAGCATTTTTTTCTTGCTTCCAGATCTTGACCTTGACTTCTTTTGCTTACAGTCCAAAGCTAAGAAGAGAGAAATTTCCATATGTAAAAAGCAGTATTTCAGACAGTGTTAAACCAGAGATATTCAGTATTCCCTATAGAAGTGGTGAAAAGATATCTACCTCCTTGTTATTGTATGTTTAGTTATAGCTACATTACAAAACAATTGTAACATGCTCTAAGAAATGTGCTGGTGAAACATCTAATGCCTTCCTCCCCACCTCCACCTTTCTTTAAGCACAGCACTTGCAGTTTGAAAGACTAGATAATTGACATTTAGCATTAAACTGTTGTTTTAGTACCAGCAGGCACCTGCTAACTTCTGGAATTATACAAAAACAAAGCACCATTGGAAATACCCTTTCATTCAAAAAACACTGACAAAATGTGAAAATTGTTCTGTAATTCAAGGAACTTGTAAGACCACTCATGTTCAAGCAGGTTGCATCTTCACAAAATTGTAGCTTTCAGCTAACGCAATGAAGAATTTCTAGTTTGAATGCAACACGTCATTTACTTTCAACGAAGCAAAACCTTTTTCCTTTTATATGCTATGGATCAACTTCAAATGGAACTTCCTCCTCACTCCTGTCTGAACCATAATGCATCCTGCAAAACTCATGTATTGATCCTCTACAGTAGAAGATGGTATTAGAATGACCAACAGGGATGGCAAGGCCATCTTTTTAAGTTCAGGCTGTTTGAAACCATTTATGAAAGTAATGTGTGTTATCTGAAAACACATAGCAAACAGGTTCAATTTGCATTAAAAAGTTTACACCTTCCATAAACAGATGCCACGGGAACCTACAACAAAACCTGGAGATTCTAGTATGTAGCCAAAGTAGGAGGATGAGGGCATTAAACTGAGTTAATATTGGTATGATGAAAATAACTGATAAGGCTCAAGAAAGACAAGCAGTTCGGGACTGATAAGCGTTATCTAGCTATACTATATCCCAAAAACAAGATATACTAAAACTACACAGAAATATGAAGGACAGTAATGAGTGATATTGATACTAAAAAGGCATATGCTATGCTACTGAGACATCTTAACAGTGGAATTCAAAAGCCGTTAAACTTGCCTAAGTTCTGACTCGTGTAACAGAAAACAGAAAAGCTTAGTATCCTGAAGCATAAGACGTCATCTGTGGAGGCAAAACATGCTGATTTAAAGAACATACAAACAGGCTCAATTGCATCCGTCATTCTTCTTATGCCTTCCAAAAGAGCACCTCCCAAACATGGCTTTTACCCTGTAGCTAAACCTTAAACTTGTAGACACACCGAGCACTTCCCACTTCCATCCCCAGACTGAGGATTCTCACAGTACTTCGAAAAAAAATGAATGATTTTTGGAGGTTTGAAGGAACCAGAGAACAAATCAGACTGCAGACAAGTAGAAAAGGAGGAGACACCAACCTAAGGAAAGTTCTTTCAGATTCTGGGTGAAGCCACCATTACGAAGATAAGCCTCAACAGTGTTTTGTTTTTTTTTTTCTGACAGTACCAAGGAAAGCAGTCTCAATATAAAGCCAGTGAGAGAGAAATGGCCAAGATAACTTCTGAAAAAGTGAACAGGTAAGGGGTCCTTACTGTTTTATGTTCTCATAAAAAAGATATCCTTTAGATAATTAGGAACTTCAATCACTATCTTTAATGCTCTAGGAACTACTGAGTAGTATAAATATGTCACATGCTGCAACACCTGTAACAACAGCACCAGAAATGTAAGCACAGAAAATACTGAAACCTAGAGGCTGATTCTCTCAAGAGAATTACTTGCATGAGGGAAGACTTATCTGAAGCAGTTGTTACAGCAAAAGCTTTGCCACTGCTGATTTTGCAAAATGTCATGTGAAGGAAACAGTTGTAAGTCGTCATTTTCTTTGAATGCAAAGGCATCCAGGAGTCGCACCTGATGTCAGTTAGCTGATGTCAGTTGATACAAATGAGCAAAAAGCAGCAGACAGGAGGCTCCACCTAGAAAAGCCCACAGGCATTTGAAACAAGAACTAGCTTGTTTCCTTCAGATTGGCAAACTTAAGACACTCATTCTCATCAAGAAATTTGATTCTACTCACACACATCCCAAGCATTTCAGAGTCTTCACCTTCTTATTTGGTTTTCTGTAACAGAGCTCCCAAATAGTTTTAAGCATTTGTATATTCTTCTAGGAAAAAAAACTCTCTGAACTACTATGAAATCAAATGGACAGCAACATGGGTAAACAGGCAATCATAATACACCAGGAGAAGTAGTTACTACTTCCGTGAAAGGTATATTTTCCCAAGAACGACTTAAAAACAAAGCAAAACAGACGTATGGACATCTCTGCATCATTTACAACAGACATTCTAGACAGAGAAAATACAAAACGAAGACCAGAAAATATAATGAAACTTCAAGAAAAACAATAATCAGATCACTCAATGCATTCTTTGAATAATTTAGCTAGGATTGGACATAGAACATATGCCCAGCAAGAAGCTGCTGTCAAAAAACACAAAAAATACTAAAGACAGTAAATCTGTGTTCTGCAAGGGTTATTTTTGTTACCTTTGTCTTATGACCAAGTGAATATATTTCTTTACATTTTAGAAGGTGCAAAGCAACACAAGTATATTTTGAAGTTATCTTACTGAAGCAGTGAAGCAAAAATGGTGAAAAAGAGTAAGACCTGGGTAAACTTCATTGAAAACTGCAAATCCAACACCAGTTATCAAGGACACACACCAGGAACTGTCACATTAATTCCATTTTTGCCTATCTAGAGAGTAACGACTTTAAATGAAGTTACATGTCACATCTGCTTACACACTGCTGGTATGACGCCCGCAAGCCTTTGCAAGCATCAAATAAGCCATACTATTGTTTCGTCTGTAACAAAGCATGTTCTGAACAAAACTCTTTGGATACCTTTACTGTAAAACAAAGCATGATCTCAGCAGAAAGCATTTTTAGCGCTCTCAGGAAGAGACCAAAGACAATGCAGTTCTTGCAATGGAAATTCAGACCGTACTTGCAGCAAATCGCCAAAGAGATGGAGGAGCTACCTGTAATTATGCCTACTTTGTGGCAAAGACAGCTCCCAAAACTATTAACCTTTGTAATTATGGGCCTTTCTCCATAAAGAACCAGTTCTCTTTGAAGGAAGCCTCCTTCTTTCACGTTTGGCCACCTGCTGCTTCCAAAAGCCTTTTGTGAACGACAAGTTGTACCACTTCATCAAAACTGACACAGCATGACAGAGAGAAAACTCATGTAAGACTAAGGAAGATAACCAAACATTGGGGTGAACTTCTTGAGGCACTCAAGTCCAATTTGATCATAATGTTTAGAAAAACACATGCTATGTCAAAAGACTGCGTATAAAAAACTACTGTATCTGTGATAGTTTATCAAGAAAGACTGACAAGTAGATGGTGACAGGAGGTTATATTCAGCACATCTAGGACAATATGCATTACAAACGCCACAACTGGGGATCCTTAATTCCATGATCTTTGGTCTGAGTCTCAAAATTAAAACACACCTATGCTAACCTGTGTGCTCCACCTCTTAATGTCCTCCAGAGTGGAACACCTTTCTTTTCAGTAGACCAAAGCCCCGTCTTTATCAAGACTTCATGACTTTTGTCATAAAATATGACACAAGTTGAATAACTGCATACATAAGTGACTCTAACCGTTTAAAAACACTGCCCTCTTGTGTATTTATTCACTAATTAGTCAAATTCAATCTTTTTTTACCTTGTCTCATCATTATTGCAAAGTACAATGCAAAAGAAATTCAGAATTTTTTTTGCATATATATATATATATATATATATATAAAATACTCCAATAATTTGGCTCTCTGAAGGATTTTATGCAATGCTAAATTCAGCCCACTCTGCTGGCTGATCAGCATCAAATAAAGACATGCAAATCCAGCAGATCTCTGATCCCTGCTGTGGTTGCACACACTTATACAGCAAACTCCCTGAAGCTACAACTGCAATATTAGAAACTATTTGGAAAGGTGGTGACCACAGAAATCACTACCTCAGCCATACTGCTGGCTCCAAGACAAAGTCCTTACTTGTATATTATTGTTCTCTCCCAAACTTCTGGGAGAGTATCCTCCATCTACAGAAGCAGAGAGCAAAGAAGAGAGTGATGACTCCCAGAAATTACAGCTGTTAAGAAGAGATTAAGTAGATGGACAGAGTAAGAAAAAGAGAATATGTAAAAAGCCAAGCTGCAAGACAGAAGTAGGAGATTTTAAGTAAGAAGAGAAGCCTGGTAAAAAGAAAAGAAAGGAAGCTGGATATACAACTGTACCAAGAAGGGAAGGATGCATTCAGAAGATTTTGCACAGGTCTGTTTGATAAGAGTCAGTTTGATACATGCTCTTGAGAAGAGAGACCATCATGCAACCCCTAATACAAAAGCCAGTAACTGTAAAAATGAACTCAGTGAAGCGCTTGCTATGCAGTAGTTAAGCACAAATTAAGCTTAATAATGAACACTAATTTTGAACAGCCAACAGCCTAGAAAGTACCACTTTCGAATGTTTTTCTCCTGAGCCCATTCTCAATATGTACTATCATGCAGCTATTTCAGTTATAACTAAAAATGTCAAGTTGCATTTAAAAAAAATGGAACTTGTAACATTTCACCAAATGAAAAAAATGCTGATTCTGAAGAAAATGGGCATCTGCTAGAAAAGCAATATGATAACCATCTATTGAAAACACGCAGACAAATTGAAAAATTGAGTAGACTGGTGCATACAGTAATGTAGGCCTGGGACAGCTCTCGCTTAGGTGACTTGTACAGCTTACTGTACTGCTTTTACTAAACAGTAACACCTAGATAGCTCCCATAACAATTACCAAATAATAAAAGAACTAGTGTGTGTTTGCACACACTTATTTAATGACAGCAAGAAACTAAGATAAATATGGTGAGCCTGCCCATGGCAGGGGAGTTGAAACCAATGATCTCTGAGGTCCTTTTCAACTCAGGCCATTCTGTGATTCTATGATACGCAACTAATAAGATTTTTTATGGCAGTTCTGTATGCTTTAGAAGATGTAAGAATCATCTCATGAAAACTGAAGAAGAAACCTGTATAAATGTATTGTCATTGTCTCCATAAGTGTTCCAAGCTGAAGCCAAGCAGAAGATGTCTACAAGTGGCTCTCAGCCACAACTATTTTTCAAAAGATAAACTGAAATCTGCCCAAGCACAACATTCAGCAAAGTTTTAAATCAACACATGCTGGTGAAATCCTGTAAAGCTGTCCTCTTCCTAGCAAAACTTCCAGTGTACTGTGCAGTATCAGGAAAAAAAAAAAAAGTTTAAAATTGTATTATCCGGTCCACCAGGTTTACACTGAGCTTGCTCAAATGAAGAGTCAACGAAAAACTTTATAACTTTTGTAACTGTGCAAAGTTTTTAATGGTAACTACTAAATGAGCACATGTGCATTGGTTGCATAATACTACAGCTATAACTTAAGTCTTTCTTAAGCCACCATTTTCAGTGAAATGCCCTTATGTGCATGGCACAGGCTATTAACGTAGATCAGCTCTACCTTCTGAGATTAGAAGCAAGTTTTTGGTTTTTTTTTGTTAAATTTTCTTTCTAACTTCATTTTAAACAAACTTCTAGTTTCGATGATACAAGACCAGGAGGTTTAAGTTTTTAAAAAGAAGGCATCAACTGCTTATATTATTAGCTTGCAAACTGATCCTTAAAAAAAAAAACACCACCAATAACAAAAAACCCAACAACCACAACACAACACAACAAAAAACCTCTGAAGCTGCTCCCACATTTCCTATTTAGCCGAGGTGAAAGGAGCTTCTCTAGGCTCTGTGTACTATTTTCTTTGTTTCAGCGTCTCCTTCATTTAATAACTGATAGATTTTAATGTGCAATTTAAATACAGTTATATTTACCAATAGGTATAGAAGCAAAATAACTCACCATAGGGCTAGTACCTGACAGAACGAGGGGAAATGGCCTTAAGTTGGCACCAGAGTAAGTGTAGGTTGGATATCAGGAAAAACTTTCTTTACAGAAATGGTTGTTAAGCACTGGAACAGGCTCCCTAGGGAGGTGGCTGAAACACATCCCTGGATGTGTTTGAAAACTGCTTGGATGTGATGCTCAGGGACGTGACTTAGCGGAGGATTGTTAGTAAGGGTAGTATGGTTAGGTTGTGGTTGGACTCAATGATCTTTAAGGTCTTTTCTAACCTGAGCAATTCTATGGTTCTATGATTCTATGACAGCAGTGGTATAAGAAGTCTACTATCACCATCTTTTTACCGTGTAAACATGAAAACTTTCAGAATCACTAAAATCATTCTCATACACAATGGATATTAGTGCAACTGTTTTCATTCTCAATCTACTTTATTATATCATTATGTATAACAAGACCTGGCATCCACAGGCTCTGTGTGTAAAATGCACTTAAATGTTATTCAGCCTGTCACAGAGAAAGCCTGTTTATATACCTAGCATAACAAATCGCATCTACAGATAAAAAATGGAATTACATATTTTTTCAGCATTATGTAAATGACTGTGCTTATCAATACAGGCAACTGATTGCTGCACTTCTGAATTACTTCATAGTTTTAAATCTGTCTAAGTTTTCTTCACTATATTCCATGTTTGCTCCCCAACTTGCCACTGACCATACAAAATCCCACTGATCTAAGCAATACTCCAAGTAAACTTGGAGTAAAAGGAATCTGCCTACAGCCAAGAAAACTGCATGTCCCTGGAAATGAGTCAAAATACAGAATACTAGAAGATTTTCAATAAACGTGTGTTTTAATTTAAAAAAAAAAGCATTAACAGCAGTGCCAAGTGCTGTACCACACTCACCCTATTGTCTATCACTCCATGATTGGTTTGTAAACCAAACAAAAAATGAAAACAGCTACATGTACTATGTTGGTAGAGATACACAATTTGGAAAATTACTTGGTTCTTCCGTTTTTTAGCCACAGTATTCTTAGTAGTTATATGTAATGTAATTATTTCTTAATGTTTTTAATTGTTGACGTACTTATAAAGACTTTATTAGATGGTCAACTAGTTGGTTTGGAAATTGTGATATCGTGGGAGAATGAATTTTGAGTGAACATCTCTTAGTTTTGCTTACACATACCTTAAGTGTTGGATCCAAAATAAATGAGTAAGAATGAAAATCAGACATGAGAGTGGACAACAGCAACATATCTGTGTCTACAAGTTGCTGAAGTTTTATGGCAAATAAATTCTTTATCAACGGAAGCTTCAAAATTATTTTGAATTAACATATGCTTTTGTCCAGTCTGATGAGGAAAATGTATCATAGACAGACTTGCTTTTACATCTGTAACAAAACATACCTGTCCCAGTCAAAAGTCCAGCACTCTTCTTTCGTGCATAAGCGCGTAAGTGGTTGGACAGGCTAACAGCACTTGTAAACGTCGTATTGCAATGCACACACGTTCTAAGCTTCACAGGCATACCTATCATTCAAAAGAAAACTATAATCCAGTTCTCTCTTCAAAAAATGAAATTCTCAAAGCGTTGTAAAAGGTTTTCTGTAATAGAGATGGTTTTAAATATATTCACTGCATAGATGCAATTGTTTAGTATATTAGAAGGATCGAAGTTAACCGTCATTAGCTTTCCACGTAGTGCTTTAAGCCAAACCTTGTTATTTGAAAAGAACAGAAGGAAGGCAACTTGAACCCATTAGGCTACTCTGCATCAGGCTGCTAACAAATTCCTACAGATCTCCGTATCACGAAGCTCTATTCCCCAAACACAATCCTGCAATTTGAATAGCACAGTACTGTTGAGAAATTTCAGAGCTTGTAACATTTCCAATAAAGAGAATTTTAAAAGTCTGGTTGACAAAGTGGTAATTAAGTGTTTTACCCATAAGACAAAAAGGCTCAATACTAAATTAGGCTACTGTTGAAGGCTTAGAGAGAAAGGCGGTAAAGCACATAACTGAACATCTGTTAGACAAAACATTTTGTTCAGTGCATATTCTGTTCATTACTTTAGATACGTCACCAATAATGAAAGTTAATGATTCAAAGATCTTTGCTAAAATCTCCGTGCTAAGTAACCAACAAAGGAGCATGCTTTTATCACAGGAAAACAGTGAAAGTGCAACAATACTGAACCCCTCACTTACCAGACAAAGAAAGCATTATTACTTCTCCCCTGCTCAACTTTACCATAATGTTCTCCCCTCATTTTACTAAAGATACTGTTTCCAGTTCTCTATTAATAAATTATTATTAGAACAGATTAAAAAAGCCCAATCTACTCAGAAAGAATGCTTCTGCTTGCAGGAAGGAAGGAGTCTTATTCTCCAGCAGCACACAGAAGATGTGCAGTTTTTTTTTCAGGTAAGTTAAAGAAGGTCTGGTTGGTTTAGAAAACAAATAACAACAACAACAAAAAAGAAAAAAACACAAAGCTTTTTGAAAACTAAAAATGGGATTAGAAACGTTTGCCATTTTAGGAAGAATTGAGGATTTCAACTTGATGCTAAATACTTTCTCACCAACTCAACTGGCACAGTGCGATCGTTAGTTGTCAAACTGTTACCTGAGCCACAGATAATTATAGGGCCCCGTACATAACTGTTAGTATTATATAAGCACATGTTTATTTTACCCTGATTGTTCATCGCAACCAAGCAGGTGCTGCCTGCTATCCAGCACTCAGCAGTAAACATTAAACAGACAGCAATAAAATGTGTCTGTTTTTAGCAAGCTTCTCCTCTAGCACGGTTTTTCAAATAATTAAGCCTGTCGAAGACACACCTTCCAGCATAAAGTACCCTTTCTTTAACAACAACCACATACAGCCACATGACATTGAACGTAATTCTGTTCCACCTGTCATTTTAGAAAGCCACTCTAAGAAATTGATTGTCACACTTTCAATAGTCCCTTAAAAGATCTTTTGAGCACACTGGGCTTCTTATTTCTTTAAGGGCAGACAAGAATAGAGGTGAAAAAAGTACAAGGCACTGCCAATTTTACTAACCTGCACCGGGTACTGATGAGAAAACCAATAGAACCAAAAGTCATGAGTATAAAACTAAGAACCTTCTCCTCAGCTTAAGGAATCTTGCAGCACCATAAGGTGGTGCTCCAACAAGAAACAGGTAAACGCAAGCTCTGCATACACACTGAAAAGAATTCCACTACAATTTCCCGAGACAAGAAATAACTCTTATGTGACAAGTAGGTTAAAAACATCACTCCAAAAAAACTGCTTTCTAAGTAGCAGTAGTAACAGAGTAACTAGAAAGTTGATCACAGAATTGCCTCATCAGCACAAGTCTCAGTGCAGGGAACATCTTCGTCCCTATCAGACCGATGCTGCCTATCAGAACTCTACTGGCTACAGCCAATACACATCTTCACTCAGGACAGACAGACCTTAAGAAAGCACCAGTTTCTCAGAGCAGCCACAATTTTAAAACAAACAATAATTAATCTATGGTGTAAGAGCATGTTTGCCTAAAAACATCAAAATTAGTTAAGAGAGATTAATCAATTTAAAACACTATGTGCTAATAACGGCATCGACAGTTCTGTCAGTTTGAGCAAATGCTGTTTTGCACAAACCTCCAAGATTTAAAAGATGTGATTCTCAAACCAGCAGTTTTAAAGCCCAGAAACAGGGTCACAAGCCCAAACATCTCAGAACTGTTAAGTCTACCATATATGCCCGGACACTTCGACATATGGTTACTGCAGGATCTGTCTTCCTTTTTGAGGCTCGTTTTACGCCCACTTTGAATCTGTAAGCCCAACCATACGCAGAACAGGTACTACATTCTGTGCCAAAAGCCCTCAGTACTGAATATTCACTTAAGAAAAAAAACACAAGAAAAATTTCTTGCACTACCTCTCGCAGTCAAGGTCCTCTGGAAATGAAACAAGAATTAAATAAACAAATTCCAAAATAAAATCCTCTGCACTTTACATTTTCTGTGAATTAAAACATTCGTTTGGAAATGCTGTGAAGACAGCGAGAAACACCTTCTTACCTGACTGCATAGTCAAGTCCATTTTTTGTGGCTGATACATCAATGGACTGTCTTCATTTAATGGAAGAACACATTTCTGAACAAACCTCTTTCTCGCAGTTTGATTATGAATCTTTTGAGAAGAAATACCAGGACTCCTTTCTTCTCCTAACCTTTTATTTTTCAGAAGTTCTATCAGTGTAAGTGACTGATTTTTTTTTTCATTATGTAGTACTGCCTTTGTTTCATCACATTCATTTAGGAAACTCAGCCCTTCTTCCTCTGATGCAGACACAGATATATCTTCAGTCTTTAGGCCATTATGGTATGCTTCGAGAGGTATAACATTCTGAGATAAAAAGTCATCATTTGATGCAAATTTCTGAGCAACAAAGGGTCTGGGAATAACACGGCGACTATTCAAAGCCTTTAGTATTTTTTCATACTTCTCTTCATTTTGCATCATTTCATTCAAAACACAGATCGGAGACTTGTGTGCATCCCACTTGGTTTTGCCAAGCCTCTTCAGGTGTCCTCGCACATGATTTGACAATCCAATTTTAGTATCAAACCAGCCTCCGCAGAGCTGACACGTGTGCTCAGAGGAAGTTTCAGATTTCTCAATTGCTACAAAGAAAATAATTTTCATGTATTTTGACAATTATGTACTGTTAAATATTACAATAGCAAATCACAAGGACGAAGAGAGGCTTTACAACAAAATAAAGCAAGTCTTGCTTAGTGCTCAATTTAGTGCACTTTGTCCCCTCTACACCAAAACTTAAAAAAAACAACAACAACATTAAACAAATTTAAAAAACACATACCTTTTCTAACACGTTTAACAGGAGTTCCTGTTCCAGTTCTTTTAAAATGTTGCATTTTGTCACTTGTTGCTATCTGTTCTGGTGAAACAACATGACGGGCTTCATAGCTTAATCCAGCTCTGTGAAGATGTCCTCTGACGTGGTTGGACAATCCAACACCTGTTTCAAAGGTTGCTGGGCAGTATGGGCAGGACTTCTTTTCAAGTGACAAATCAGTCCAATGGAAAACTGAATTATGCTTTGGCAACGCTGATCCTACATTTTCTAAATTCTGTGCATCATGCAAATCATGCAGGAAGTTACTACTCTCAGCATCTTCATAATACTCAAAATAAAAGCCATCATTCTGCTCATAACTAAGTGAAGATTTATCACCAGCTTCATGATCTTCCATTTTACCTTTGAATATAGGGAATAGGCTTACATGCTCCTGATTAATATCACTGTAAGATTCATCCTCCACAGACCGCGTTGTGTAATCACACAGTTCAGCATTATCCCATGAACTTTCATCCTCTGTTTCATAGCTGTCTTTTTTTTCAGCAGAGTTAAGTCTCTGTAAAACAACAACAGCCATTTTATGCAGAAAATCTGAAAAGCAATCCAAACCATTTCCTGTAAAAGTGCCATCCCTCCTTAACCACTCTTACTACAGCTACATGCTTATTATCTTTATAGCCTTCTGCTCCTTTGCAATTAAGATTACCTGAATCCATGACAAAAAATTATTATGGATGCTACTTGATGGAGAAAATAAATGTAAAGAACTCACAGAGATGGACTCTTAAACGTAAACAGTAAGAATCAGTATATTTTTTAATCATTGTAGTTTTCACATTTAGATCTACATAAATAATTATTGCTTGCTTTGACACTAGCTCTCTGCTTTGCTGCTTTATGAAAACTTTTTAAGTTTCTGGTCACTGCTATTTCTAATCAAAAGGGTCCTGTCTGGAGAATTTAGATTGCACACACTTACAGATGACTGTGAAACGCTTTTCCGAGCCTTCTGTATCCTGTAGGGTCTCTTGTGAAGTTTTCCGAAGTTACTGGACTGTGAAGTAGAGCCAAATGATCGTTTTACATCTTGTTTTAAAACTGAGTTCTTTGGAAATGTAGAAGATTGTTTTATCAACTGTTTTGTCCTGCTACCAAAATCTAAAGATTCTTCTATTATGCTGCTTTTTCTTTTTTCTAGTCTAAGATGGCTACCAAAGGGATCAATGCAAGACGCTGGATGCAAATATTCCATGTGTTTTTTTAAAATGCTTCTAGCTGAAGTTGTAAATGGACACATCTTACACATGTACGTTGACGACTTCTTTGAGGATCCTAAATATGGATCTTTCATGGATGCCTTCTTCTGTGACTTCCTCTGGGACATGTCACTACCAATAACAGCACACTTGACTACTGCTCCATGAGCAATCCCTCGATGGCATTCAAGTTCATTTTCTGTCACAGCCATGAAATTGCATTCCTCACAGCAATAGTATCTTTTATCTTTTTCATGGGTCTTTGCATGCTGCACAAATGTTTTGGGACAATTGGTACCAAATACACACTGTGGGCACTGTAACCGTGCACTCCTACCCTCATCCTGAAGCTCTTTCAGCTCGCGGATTTCTTCCATCAGTTTCTGTCTTCGTTCTTGGTGAATGATCATGTGTTTAAGAAGTGAATTACGATCTCTAAATGTCCTCCCACATTCCCTACATGCATAGGGCCTGGGGACATTGAGATGTCGGAAATGGCTGTTCCCATCTAAATGGTACATCATATGCCTATGCAGATGTTTTTTCTCCCTAAAATTCACATTGCACTTTGTACAGGGATAAAATGATGGTTCATCGGTACTGAAGGTAGATGGTGATTCAGAATCATTCTGTTCACATTTATTTTTTAAAGTATTGGAAAGAAAAGTGCTAGTGTGAACAGGAGAAGCATCCTCTGCACAGCTACCAGTGGGACTATAAATGAGCTGCTGGATAGCATCAACAGCTTCCAGCTCTTCATCTGTGGACTCAGGCTTTACTTTACTCAACGAGTATTTCTGAGGTTCTACTATTTGTAGCTCCTCATTCTGTTCTAAGAAGTCAACAGTTAGCAGTTTTGACTTACTAGGAATATAAGTAGTATCACCAAAACAGTCTTCAGTATAGCGTGTTATTTTACTAACATCCATTTTTCTTTTTCTCTTTTTTTCTAAACCTACTTTACAGTGAATGGGAGATTTCTCTATTGTTTCTTCATTTGTCATAAGAAACTGTATAAACTCTTTTTGTGGATCCCAGCTGGGTTCACATCCCGATCTGAAACCACCTGTACCTGAGGAAATGCCTGTTAATGCATCAACACAATCGTCTTTTACCAGTAAATTTTTGTCATCCTCACAAACTTCTACTTGGCCTACTAAAGTGCTGTCTACACTATTTCCTACTGATTTCTGTGAGTCACAACCAACTGAAGCAGAGGTAGGTAAATTTTTAATGGAATGAGTCACGTTCTTAGCATGTGCTACATCAGGTAACAAAAATAAAACTTGGTGCTGATTTGAATTTTCTGTTGTACTCTTTGCAGGCAGCTGAAGATCATGAACCACCGTCAAAGTTGAGCAGGAATCTGTATGATGACCTACAGGCTGTCCAGTGGCTAGTGAAACACTGCCTTTATTCATAATGGAAGTTTTTGTTGAGGTGGAGTGTGAAACTGGTCCATTAACAGCAGTTCCTCTAGACAAGATAAAGTTTTCACTAGAAACAGTAGGAGCACCAGTGTGTATAAATAGAGAAGTCTGGCCTCCACTTAAGGCTTTTTCAGATCTGTCCCTGGATAGCTCCTCAGGCAGAGTCAGTGTACTGTTTTTCTGAAACAATGCGTCACTCTCTTGCGATTCAGGAATGCCACCTTCCTCCTCAGATACAAAATCACATAGGATTTCCTCTTCTTCTTCTTTAGCACCAGTAACTTCAGTATTCATCTCTAAATCATCCATGTTGCTGGTCTGTCCATTAAGTACATTTATACTAAAACAAACAAACAGAAAACAACAAAACAAGAAAGAAAGGAATCAGAATCACAGAAATATAAGAATGGCAATTTTAATTTACAATTTTCTCTAGGACCATGCTCCTTCACACTGTAGTCAGAATGTTTTGAATTGAAAAAAATATATTCTAACAAGTTTGAGACATGTTTTAAATCAATCAATAAGGGAACCAAAAACTGTATACTTTTCTTTTTTTTTTTTTGCTAGACTATATTAATAATGATACAGCACTGTCTAGTATTATCTCAGTCCAAAAAAAAAAGTTTCAACACTTACATGCAAAAATATGATTGACAAAAGTTGTGCAAATGCATTTTACATGTATATTCACTTGAGCATACTGTTTATCCTTAATTCTGTTCTAAAAGTAAAACAAGTAAGGAGTTAAGGTTATCCAGACAGCCACTACAGTCATTTCAGTGATTTTTATATTACTTTTTAAAATGTAATTCCCTTTGAGACCTAAGAAATAAACCAACATAATTTTTGTATATCTCAAGGTATCGCTTCTTTCAAAGCACTTGTATACAGTTGACATAATGATACGCAGGAGCTTGTAGTGCTTTTACTTGGGTATTAATAGAGAATACATCCAACTAGGCCAATTTTGGACATATAATTGCTGCTGCAAACATAGCAAAGGATCAAATTCACTGGAGAAATGAAATGTTTTCCCATTATGTTCTTCAAAAAGCACTCTCCTTGCTTTCAGACAAATACACAAAACAGATCCTGCTGATGTTCCGAGCCCATTTAAAATGGTAATCAAATAAAACAGATTTTCTTAAAGGTGGAAAAAAAATTTAGTTAGGATACCTAACGAAATCACCATGTCGAATTCAGTGTATGACAGAGAATATTACAAATTAGTTCTTCACGTGTGTTAAGCACACCTTTCCATAAGCAACATTCATTTACCCATTCACACAATCTACCCAATGCTTACTGAGCACAAAGAAGTTTCCTACATATGGGTCTTGAGAACACAATAAGTGTAAGGCATTACAACATCCACCTCAGAGATGGAAACATTTACCTGTTTTACAGAAAACACATTTTTACCCTTGAATTGTACTTTCATATTTTAGGGGATTTGTGTCTGCCATCGCATGCTTAATTTCAGACATTAATCAACATTTTGAATAAAGAATCCTATTGAATGGAGTCATTACCTAGACTCTTCAAATTACGGTGTTATAACTCACGACAAATGTCCATGGCTCCTTGCAGTGGTCCTTCATCAAAATCAAGGAAGACCACGCTTGACATCCTTTTTTCCTAAGGATACAAAATAAGCTGTTTAAAGGGCACCAATTTCATCTTCATACATCACACACCAAAATTAATTCAGAACTATTAGTTTTTCCAATTCAACATCATGATAGCCAGCCATGTAATTCAAAGCTAGCCAGAGCCTCATGAAATTCTGTGCTCTTCAAATCAGTAAACTGACAAAATAATCTAATCTCCTTAAAGTTTCTAAATAACAAACCTCAGTATGCTGCATTTTTTTCTTAACCATTTTGAAGAAAAATAAACCGTATAGGGAGTGCAAATAAAATGAAAAAAAACTTTTTACAGGAAGAAGTTCAAAAAGTGTTTTCTCTGCTACCCAGTTAGTGATCTACTCAATTTAGCAATGCTGCTGTACTCACATCAGCTCAGTAACAAATGCCCAATGCACATGAAATGATTCTATTTATTAGGCTACTTGAATGTCCTAATGTTCAACTAGATGCTCCAGATACGTGTCTTCATTTTGTAATTTCTGAGTTTCTTTGCTCTTTTCAGATGAGCCAGTCTCTACACAACACGAACTTCCAATAACACCATATTTACAGTATCATCCTTAAATGGTGATAACGCACTACGCAGCAGGAGTCTTTACAACATAAACACAAGTTAGAGAAGGGTACTACAAACATGCACTACAAAATCAGTAGTCTAAAAAAAAATCAAATTAAAGAGGGGAAAGCTCCAAAGACACAGGACTGCTCGAATGATTTTATAAGTGGAAGCATAAGCTCCATTTAATAATTAACAGCAGACTCTAAAACGTTCCAAGAAAGTTTAGAAGAAATCCAGCAAGTTAGCTTTTCCTAAAAGTCGTGCAATTTCTTCATTTGGTTACTGCAGATGTAGACAAGTGCATGCTCAGTCAATTTCAGAGCCTACATTAGCTTTTCTCAACAGGAAGCAATGTTGCTAACAAAGTGGTAAATTCAGTGTTAATGAGTGGCTTCACTGTTACCACCTCTGAGGTAAAACCTTCCACGTTCCAAGTTCCACCCATCTGTTGTGGTGTTAGGGGTTCAGAGGAAGAACAGACGCTTCCCATTTAAAGCAACCCCACTGGTACCCCCCAAACAGCAGGGAGGCTGTCTGAGAACACGGAGATTGCAGCTCTCATTATCAAATGGCTCCTGAAAACTTTTCACAGGTTTACAGGGTGAAGGAAAAATCATGTTGCTCCATACACAAAAACTGTGTGCAATATTGTTAAAACCTGAGTTAAAACAAGGAGGAGAGGGCACAATACAACCACCTCAATATTCAGGACTATCATGAACAATATCCAAAACATCACATCGCGCAATCTCAAAAGAGACTCCCTTCTGTACTGTGTATTTATGGAGATTGTGAACTATTCCATATGGATCTGATTAGAAGATATCTATGGTAATACAGCAGTCCCTACAGATTTCAGGCTTTGAATTAAGCCTTAGCTGCTTATCATATCGATAATATTGCTGTTACATTTTAATAATTTTCTGCTAATTATCACATTTTTCCAGCTATTGGGGTGGTACAATTCACTATTAGGTGTGCAGGACAACAACAAGGGAGTTAGCATTTTTAACAGTGTATTTAAAAAGAAACAACATAAAAGATATTCTTAGATTTGTGAGTATTGTGATAATAGGGAGCCAAAATGCAGTACTGTACATGTAGGAATCTGCTCAATAACAACGATGCCACACAATGCCATTACTTTTGAGAAGAACATCGCTATTATTTCACTTGTGCCATTGAGGAAGCACAATATCCAGACTGAAATGCTACATAATCCTGAACTGCTTGGAAAAAACAGAAAATCAATCATTGAAACAACAAAGATTTAACAAAGAGTACACAATAATCTTTGCATATTTTCATATAGTTTTATAGCTTTCTACACCACATTCAAAACACACATTGTACCAGTTCTGTCAAAATATATGGTAATTAATCCTTAGAGTACTTGAAACGTAAACACTGAGATTAAACTTCAGATTTAATATTGCAAATAGTGCTTGCCACATCCACTACCAGGGCAAAGCAGTTAATTTTTTATTTAGAAACATTCACACAGAAGATGCGTGCAAAACAGCAGAGCACAGAAAGCCTACACAAAAACCACAATTCTAGGCTCATACCTTGGAAACTTCAAAATTCTATTCAATCATTTTAGGTAAACTTAGAACGAATGAAGCATGGTTAACAGTGTTGTTGCTGACTTAGGTGACCCACTGTTTATTACAGTGGCATTATTTCATTTTCAAAAGTAGAAAATGACCGATTATTTAGCCAACTAAGCCCAATTCCAACTGATTTAATTAAGTAATTTTAAATATACATTTTTGCTTTCTAAATACTATTTTTACTCATAAAATATCAGTTTCAAATCATAATTAGTTCTGCAGATATGAATGCCTGTGGCCAGATACTGTAAGCATTAAAAGAGTGTAAGGTCAGATCTGTCTTCAAGCTGACAGATCATCATTTAAATGCCTTAAGCTAATCTTGTAGTCACAAAAATCTCGAACATCAGTATTTTTGCTAACTATCAGCACTTGCTATAACACCCTGACTACACTACATCTTGAGGTTACTGCAGAAGAAATGAGGTGATAATTGCATATTAACATAATTATTCGGTAATCCCTCTCAGCAAGCTTCCCAGGTCACTCAGTAATTCAGATTAGATGCAACCTTCCTGTCATCAAACCTATGCTGTCCACTTTCTGTTCATTAAGAATTCTTTTTGATAGGAATCTACTTAATTCCATTGTTCTATGTACATTATTAATTGTATTTATTACAAGTAGGTTTATGACATTTCCAAGCTCCTATTTCATAATGACAACCCTTACTACATAGCAGTGTCACACACCAAATTGCAGTGCCTTCCACAACACTAGTTCATTAAAGCTTACACTGCAATGCTAAGCGCATTCCGATGTTGTCTACGAGCAGATACAGCTAGAGCTTTCTCCATTTCTGTTACAACAACGCTGTTTTACAAGCATTTACAACAGACTGGAAAGGATACTGCAGGTGAAAAATTAAGTCGGAAAAACATGGCTGAGATTGAAAAAAGCGTTAAGTGTCTCTGTGTTTTGATACCAAGTTTCTCACCAAATTCATAAATATAAGCCAGCGAGCTAAAAGCACAGAGTCACTATTAAGTATCACAGTGACTGAAGAGTCATCTCCCAAATGGGTTGAATTTACCCGCTAAATTAACTGAACAAACACACTATTTATACAGTGCTACAACAAAGGCAAAACTGAACTTGTCCTGCACCAAGTAACTAGCCATAAGTCCAGATCTTTAAGCCACATCCATGAATAACCAAGGTACTTGAGATTATTCAAATATTCAAGAGATAGTAAAGATGTTGCACGCTTTTACTGATTCCATTAACATTTGTTATTCCTTCAAGACTTTGTTATTAAAACGGAAAAAAACAACAGATGTCATCACTTTTATCCAGAAGCACTGCTGAAATAAATCTTTCTGGAATGACAACTGATGGAACCAAAGTCACAGATTTCCAAACAGGTGACTAAAGAACTTTAAGCACACCATGGCACCAGGTTAAGGCAGAGAGGATCCCTGTTTTCCCTCACTATGCAGTCTATTCCTTTACTAACTTGATCATGGCCCACTGACAAGTACTGAGCTTCCATTGAAAGTGAAATGTTTGTAACACCTGGAAAACGAAGACTCATGCAGAACAGGAAGAAATTGTATAAATGCTAATTGTATAAATTGTATAAATCAACAGGAGGGGATGAGAAAGCCAAAAACCTTGTTTCCCAAATAGCCAAGTGTATAAGCATAACCTCATCACAACTTTATGAAGAAAAAAATCACCTTATTTGGAAGGCATCTGGACAATACTTCACAATGCTTTAGCCTCTTCCATATAACAGTGCACACACTTCACACCTACTATCTAACAGTAATAATACTCTAAGATGATAAAATTATGGTATTTTAAACATCAGAATAGAATGCCTATTAATAGTTTTCCTCCATCCATTCTTAAAATCTCTCCTGATCCACCACCCAGATGAAAACAGAACCACAAAGCCTGACGACCACAGAACAAACCAGTGATTCACTTTGCCTTCGCCAAGCTTGTTTGCAGATTCAGCCGTTGAAAACACGTTCAGTTTTCCAGCACAGACAGACTACTAACTCATAAACTGCCTCACTGAGCTTTGAAATAAACAAATTCATTTGAACATTTCGGGGAATTTTTAACTCCTGCAGTGAACAGAGAGCTTGCTTAGCATGCACTGCCCAGCACCACCAGTACTGCCCTCTCACACCTCTACACACAGCTGTACGGTCAGTAACATAACTACAGCCTGAGCAGCTCCACTGAAAACTACACAAATTCTGATGTGCAGCTGGCTATGTGAAAGTCCAAACATTGGAAAGGCCCCATAACTAGTTGGGTTCCCATATTAAGAGTGATTTTCAAAACAGTAAGAAAATTCACTGATGCAACGCTATGAAAAATCCAGAAGTTACTGCAATGGACAGGGATCCCAATGACTACAATACTACAAATGTTTAATTTTAATTTTTTTTAATTTTAAAACTGCAAAGATTGCTCCCAATTCCTTAAAAAGGCAGCAAGAAGTAGGTAAACCAAATTTGAAAATTTTCACCAAGTTGTCCTATTTCTTTATGAAAAGCTGACCAAAGAGAAACTTACACAGGAGTCTTTTATAATTACACAAGCTAGCAGAAGATCAACACAATTAGGGGAGGAAAAAAAGAAAAAATAAATGCAACTGTCATTGCTCAGCAATGGAAAATTCACCATTAGTAGCCACCAGCAACACAACTTTACCAAAACTTTACCTGTATTTCAAAAACAAACAAACAAAAAACAAATCCAAAGCATTTCCAATGCAGAATACTGGAAAGTAAGAAATCATTTCTCAAAAGTATTTTATTTACTAATTTGAAGTTTTAGGACTCAGAATTCTCTAAGCAA